GTCTCGCACCCTGCTAGCTTGGCTTCAGGCTTTCGAGTCCTTAGCATCACGCTCTGTGGGTTTCCATCTGTGCTCTTGCCCTGGGCCTGATGGAGCACCCCTGGCACCCGCAGGACCTGGAGCTGTTTCCCATCCACTGGACTCGGGGCCCTGCCACGTGGAAGTGCACACCATGTGAACGTGGCATGAAAGTCTACAAGCCTGACTGAGGGCACTCTGCAGTCAAGGTGTCTGTGGAGTCTGAGCTGGAAAGTTCCGGGGAAAAGGGGGGCTGTGAAGCCCAGAGGGTGGACAGGCAGAGCCCGAGGTGTGGGGTGGGGTGAAGTTATGGGCTGAATTGGGTGCCCTTCCCATCAATTCTTCTGTTGAAGCCCTGGCCCCCAGTGTGACTGGGGCCTGTAAGGAGGAAATGAGGTTAGATGAGGTCGGAAGGGGGGGCCCTGATCCAACAGGGGGGTAGGAGGCTGTCCCTGTAAGGAGAGGAGGTTAGGACACAGATGGGTGCAGAAGGAGGATGGTGTGAAGACACAGTAAGCGGGTCCCTCTGCAAGGAGAGGGGTCTCAGGAGGAAGCAAGCCTGAGACACCTTGATCTTGGGCTTCCAGCCCCCAGAACCGTGGGACCAGAAATGTCTGCTGTGTAAGGTTCTCAGGGGGTGAGGTTTCGTTGTGGCCACCGGAGCGGACGAGCGGGGGGTGGGGGATGAAAGTGGGAGGCAGGTGAGGGCGATGGCAGTGGTTTGCGTGCAGCAGGGGCGGGGCTGGGCGGGGCTGGGCTACAGGAAGGACGGAAGTGGCCGTGCCAGGGGACTCGAAGAGGGCCGGCCAGTGTGCACCAGGGCTCGGTGGGCCTCCCTGACTCCTGTGTGCCACTTCCCCTCAGTCTGTAGGAAGTTCCTGGCAGCCCATCCAGAGGAGCGGGGGCGCCTGTGGGAGGTGGAGTCCCCGGGAGCCTGGGGCCAGCGAGGCAGCACCTGGCTGAAGGTTCAGCTTCAACAATTAAGAGATCCAGATTGTGAGTTGGGGTGGAGACCATGCCCTTTGGTCTGGTAATTTCTAGCGTCAGGAACGGAGGCGCAGACTAACGTCTGCAGACGTGGGCGGGCTGGCCAGATGTTCCCTTTGTTGCTGATGCAGGAACAGAGGAGGGCGTGACACTGGGCTGGTGCCATCCTGGCTTCCTTCCACGTCCCTTTCTGAGTGAGCCGCACCTTCCAGACCCTCTTGCTCAAATAGATCTCCCCAAATTTAACCAAACCAGAAACTCCCTGGGACTAAGTGTTCCCTATTTACAATCAGAAAGAATCATTGAAACATGTGAGAGGATTAATTGCTTCTAACAGAAGTCCGGTGGAAAACATGATTTCCAGTAGGCAATGTGTGCATCTGGGAAAAATTCTGAGATTCACAGGATTTCCTGGCAGAGCAAGCCCCTGTCCCCTCTCCCTCCGGGAGGGCTCACGCAGGCGCGAGGCAGTGGCTCATGTTTGGCGTCTGCACGTGCCCGCCTTGTCCCTCTGATCCTGTCTGATGGCAGCATGCGGGTGAGCTGCTGGTTGTTGGGCAGCCCTCGTTACACACACGCTGTCTTCAGCAAGTTTGCGGTGAGCTTTCGATGCAGTGTCTGTGCCCAGGTTGGGGGTCCCAGGGCAGGGATGGGAATACCTTTCAGTAGCCAGAGGGGCACGCAGGCCGGCAGACTCACTCATCTCTGGGTGTCCAGGCTGCTTTCTGACAGTGCTCCTTCCACCTCTCCCGAGTGTGGGAGGGAAGGAGCCCCCAGGGGAGGTGCGGGAGGGGCAGGGCTGCAGGAGGGGTGTGGGGGGCGGTGAGGGAGAGAGGGAGGGGCTCCCTGTTCAGGTTCCCCGGCCACAGCGAAAGTGGAGCTTTCCTTTCTCCTGGCACCCGTGCTCTGGTCCGTGTCTCCTGCCACTTCTGAGACTGCAGGTGGCTCATTAGGGGACGGATGGGCGGGCCGAGGGGCCTCGCTCCCTCTTCTCGTGGGTGACTGGCTCCTGGGAGGTGGTGACAGAGAAGACTGCCTTGGAGTTTATTGATGATTATAGTGGCAGGTTTGGCTTCTTGATGCCTTTCAGCTGGAAGGCCTAATGGATCTTTATAGATGTTAATGGGGTGACCGGCACCTGGGAAGTGTGACGCCGTGACTGCCACCCTAATGAGGCAGTTAAGGGACTTGCCCTGTGGCGTCGAGAGTTAAAAATGAAGGGGAGCCAGCCCGGGAGTCTGGCCCTCGGCTGACCGGCCAGCTGGGCGGGTTTATCCACGTGGTTCACGGATGAGCTGGTGGCCGCCACATGGCCTGGCCTCTGTGGCTGGGACACTGCGCTCCTCAGCTGGGATGGAAAAAACCCCCAAATGACTCACCTATCAGAATGTGAAAATCACGTGGAAATCACACGGGCCAGAGGGCGTTTGCAGGGGAGGACGTTTTTGCATAATTGGGGAGATGGCTTCCTTCCTAGGAGAATTCCACTGGAGGTTATTTCAAGAGTGGAGAGTTGGTGTGGTCTCATCAGAGGAAATGAGCTACAAGTCAGATGCCAGACTTGTCACTTTAACTCATTCTGAGGTGCACCAACTCTCTTTCAAACAGCAAATGAGGGGACTTTCACAGACAAGGTTCCAGAAGCATGCTCGAGTCTCATGGAGAAAGAAGAGCCATCGTTATAATTAGGGGTATCATTAGATTACTAAAACTCTCTCTCTCTTTAAAATTCTAAGTTATGGTCCTTGCACTCCCTGTATAAATCACCGCTGGTTCCCAGTTTCACCCACACCTCCTGCCTCCCTCAGGGCCAGCAGTCAGGATGTTAATTCACTCGGGGAGGTTTTCGGCCAGCCAGCTCCAGCTTGTAACAATTTTGTCAGTTAGTGCTGACATCTCAGGTTTTTTCCAGGTTGGCAAGTGGGGGCTGCAAATATAATCACAAATTAGCCCAGATGCTCTGCAGTTTCTCAGTTTTTAGTCTGTTTCTCTTCTCATGGGTGTTAGCAAATGTTAGCCTGTTGGATTTTCCCACTGGTCACCAAACAGTGCAGATTCTGAAATCTTCTCTTCTCTGGAAATCTTATATTAATTTAATTGTTTTTAAATTCACACTTAAAATTTTTTTTGGCTTTTTTTTTTGGATAGGATAATTAGGTTTATTTATTTATTTTTAATGGAGGTCCTGAGGATTGAACCCAGGACCTCATGCATGCTAGGCATACACTTTACCACTCAGCTATTCCCACCTCCCTGCTCCAATTTTAGTTTTTAATTAGTCAGTTATTCTTAGAGTTGCTTTCTTGAGTTGTTCAGCTTTTTCAGGTTCTATCTTTTGCCCCTTCTTTTCTTAGAATTGGAGGTTTCCTACAATTTCCTAGAAATAAAACTCTAAGCAAGAAGCGCAGGGGGCCAGGCACTTTTTGCATTCTAAGTAGGGCGTAGACATTTGACCACATTCCGCAACATTCCAGCGAGACATTAACTCCTGCTCCTTTCAAATGTTTTAAAATCTATTTTTGAAGCAATGTCATTTGTGGACTAGGGCCTTTAGAGTTTGCACGGTCCTGACTGTTGATAAACTGTGGCTTATAAAGGCACTGACAACATTACAGGGTTACTCAGACCTTTTGAGAGGAGTCTGTGGGAAATGTTTTTCTTCCTACATTCAGTTACATTTGAAGCCTTTGAAACTTGACCAACAGGATCATAATTCTATCTGATGTGACTTCCCCATTAGCCCACACATGTCCAAGCTTCTTTACTGGTGGAGATGAAATTAAATACGTCGATAGTCAGAATGTTTTTTTTTTATTCCAAAAATGTTGCGGGGGGCAGGAGGTAATTGCACACAGCTTTAAAAATTATTATTTTTTTTCATATTTAGGTTATATATTTGTTTTCTTTCCAGGTGAATTCTTAATAGATCCATTTGTAATCCATGGGAAAAATACTTTTATTTACATTTAATTTTTAAAGCTAGGAAGGATGCACATAAAGAGATGTGAAATATTTGAATGGAGGTGGGGAGTTATTTTTTCCAAAAGCCTGAGGCTCAGCAGACTGCAGCTGTAATTTGTCTCAGCTTGGAGAGTTGGACATTCACAGCGTAGTAGCAAGACCAAGTATATGGTGGTGGGAAATGTTGAGAACAGAACCCCCATACTGGTTGGGTTTTTGGGCTAATGCTGCTCTTTGTAAGGTTGTGTGGCTCCCTCTAGTGGCCACTGTCATCTTCTGCAACCCTGGATGGTAACTTGTAGGTGTTTACCTTAGACCTACCTGCGTGGTTGCTTCTTAGATTCTCGTACTTGTAAGTCCAAATTAGTGCATTCATTAAAAAAAATGAACTTTCATTAGCTGGGAATAAAATGCAAGTGGACATTTGATAGCTATTAGCATGCTTGTTTGTAACACATAAAAACATAGTTTTACCCATTAGGAAAGGAGGAAAATTGATAATGGATTATCTGTTTCATTCTCTCATTCAGTCATTCACCATTTGCTCATTCATTCTCTCATTCATCCATTGTTTTTCATTCATTCATCATGTATTCATCTACTCATTTATGCAATTGTTTATTCTCTCATTCATTCATCACTTGTTAATTCATTCATTCAATTGATTACTGTTAACAGAGCATTTCTCAGCATTGGGCACTGACCAGGTAGCTGGGACAGGGTAGTGAATAAGGCTGGCTGAGTGAGTCTCTGAACTCATTTATGAGCTTACGTTTTTGTGAAGGAAAGTACACAGGTCACCACTGTGGTATTATATAAATCTTTATGTATCAGAGAGGACTTAAGAAGGCAGGTATTTTTAAATGCTTACAGTTAAATTTTGCCAAACCAAAGTTTGCTAATTTATGAAGTCAGAGGATAAGCTTTAAACATTTATTTATGCAGGTAACAAGGAATACATTTATTCTCTATTTGAAAAATGTGTTTCATTTGTATTTTCAGCCCCAATGGATAACTGCCTATTTTTTCCCTCCACGTATGGATTTTGGGGTATGGGGAGGTGCATAGTAGGATAAGAAAGTCATCCTCTTCCAAGCTGGTACTGATTTGGTAGGAGGCGGAGGGAGGTTGACTTAACATGTGTGAGTAAAAATTCCAGTGAGCAAAGAGGAGGGTCTAGGAATAGTATGGAAATCTGAGTCCATTTAATGCCTGAATAATTGGAAGATCAAAACTCCAGCTCAGAGATG